TTAATCCTTCTACTCAAGTGATACAAACACAGACATTTCACAGATTAGATGTCTTACAGTCCCATTGTCCAATACCACTTTCTGGTTTCATCCTCTTATCCCCAAGGACTGCATAGCATACTGACCAAAGGGGATCAGTAAGATGACAACCTGTGGAAGGTCAGATGAGCGAACAACATGAAGGAAAATGGGGGCTGTAGAGGAAAACAGTAAGTAGGATAGCTGAAAATAAAGCCTGAATTACAATTTGAGAACAAGTATCCAGACTGACAAGGTGTCTTGTGTCAGTTAGTCAAGCAGCCACCTACACAGCTAGGTCAAACTCCAGGAACTTTAACCAGGGCCAAACCATCTGACTCAAAAATACCCCAAAAAGCATGGCATGCTTCGCAGGATTAAGAGGGGAAGTAATCAGCCCGTGTGTTTACAATCGTGCAACTTCATCTGATCTGGGTAACTGACAGATCTGTTTATTAGTGTAATTTATGGTGGCTATCAGGATTTGGATGATGCTTACTTCTGTAATGTAAACATTTAAAATAAGTCAGGCAGACCATTGATCCCTGTTTTATCATTTGGGAACACTGTCCTGTGACAAATTCATAACTGGAACCTGGCTTAAAAAAATGTCACATATCCACTGTGGAGCATCAAAAGCATTAAAAAAAAAAATCTCACCCTCTCAAAATGTTAAAGCTGTCAGACCTTCCGTACTGCCTTACCTGAGGAAAACTATTATTTTTTAAGGCTCCTAGTGTAATCAAAGCCTTAAAAATAAATAAATAAATAAATCAGTGTTTACATGTCACAAAAGTAGATAAAACCACAGGACAACAAGGTTTTGTTCCAGCCTGAAAACTCAGCCAAATGACTAGAAAGTATGTTTTGGTAAGAGCAAAGCCCAGGAGGCCCGCCTGCAGCAAAGTCAAGGTAAATATCTGGCAGCTGTGCTGGTTCAAAAGGGAGATGAGGACAGGTGTGAACAGGAACAGCCCCAGTGGACGCGCGCATGGAAATCTCGCACGATTTCCTGTTCTCTCCCACGGGCACCCCCTTCCTGCCTCGCTCAGGATGATCCGAGCTCGGGAGTGGAAACTACCGCTGCAGCCTCGGGACCTCTCTTCCCGTCCTCCAGCTCCCCAGGGTGCTGCGTCCTGCTGCCCACAGCACTCCCCGTGCAGCAGCCTCTTCCCGCTTCCGCGGCCAGGAGCCATCCCCTTTCCGACACAACACACAGCAAATCTTGTGCACCAAAAAAGTCCGTCTCCGCCTCCCTCTAAAAGAGGTTTATGCTTATGCTCAGCATTCCCCTTGCAAATAGCAACCCAGTCACACTGGCTCTACCCAGCATCCCAGGCTGCTGCTCTGTGTGTGGGAAGGACGAAGAAGAGTTTCCCCTGCCGCAGGGAGGGGAGGAAGCAGAGAAGAGCAGCGCAGCGCAGCACAGCGCTTCGAGGAGATGGGGGAAGGGACGTGCTCCTGCAAAGAGCTGCCCATGTGGCCCTTGCACATAGTTACTGCTTCGCCCACAGCAATCAGTGGCCGCTCTCTAGGGTTTCATAGGAAGCAGCAGGAGAGATATCAGCTGTGCTGCAGCATGATCTTCTCAAACAGGTGGCCCTCATCTCCTCCAGGGACAGGCACAGGAGGAACAGACATCTGAGCCATGACTTTGCAATTCAGTGGGACTACTTGCCTTTCCCTGTCCTCTACTTTTCAAAAGATCTGACTGCTCTGCATGTGCCTGAAGCTGGCTCCACAATATTAAGAGCCCACATAACACTCAGCACCCACACAATTTAATGAAAAACCTTCATTTGTGATCCTAGGTATACTGACATTTTGCTTTCAGACCAGACTAGCTTGGTCCGCGGTAGATTTGTTTTGCAGATGTTTTTTTTCCGACACCATTGTATTTGTCTTTCTGTACTGGCAGGACTGGGCTAATATCCATTACAAGTGTCATAGCAAAATATTAACGTGTGATCTTTCTTTCAAAATCACCAAGTACGCAGTATAACACTATCGGCCAACTGGGGTCTTTTCTTTAAGATGCCATGGGACACGCAATTCAAACAAACATGAAATTGATCAGCTTCTTCCATTCTCCAATCTGACTTGTCTCTCACGTAAAGGTGCATTTCAGTGAGGTAGGCTGCTGGTTTTGTCACAACTTACATCACAGATAGAAGAGATGCGAAGGATATATTTTCTGGCTTTTTTGTAATAGAAGTATTTTACTGTTAGTCAAAGTTGGAACTGACATGAGAGGGTTAAATTATGAGCTATATTAAATTACAAAATGGTTAAGATACTTAAATACCAGATTTTTTTATCTATGTGTATGCTCTCATACAGCCTGTGTCAAAATTAACTATCAAGGATTTCTTATGCTCTATCCAAAAAAACTGTTGCTCTTCAATAAACACATTTCCTATGTCTGACTTTATTTACCTGAGTTTTACATGAGTGCAAAACTCTTTAATAAAACTGATCAGCTTATTCAGGAATGAAAACCATTAGTTTTGCACAGCATTTAGAAATCTAAAAATCATACTACTCCTTTCTATGCTGAGAAGCAAAATACTGAGCAATATAAGCAGTAGTAGTAAACACATGCCAGATATTAACTTTATAAAAATATTTTACTCTGTATAAACATCCATAATCTATATTAATTTACATTAATCTCACTCATCTCAGCTACTGCAATATTTCCTTTCTGGAGTTAGTGCTGTTGAAATACCGTGGCTCAGATGATGAAATGTTTGGACTGTTGATTTATTTAAAAACTTGATTCAATGATCTGTCACTGGACAGGTTCCCCCGTCTGCAACACTGCCAAAGTAAGTAAATTTCTTTCGCCGATTTAAATTCTTTGGCAGCACAGCATCCCAAAACAGTCTCACAGTTTTTCCCAGAAGTTTGATACCAAAGCTGACAAGACCACAAAATGAGAACAATCTTATTTTCAAGAGAACATTTGCTAACAGAGACACAAACCCATTATGGGAAAAGCAGGACCTTCTCCACACCCCTGACCAAGCACAAGGAACAGCAAATGCTCTTAACACTGCTCCAAGCACGCTTCCCTCACAGGTGAAACAACAGGGCTTAGTCCTTACTAGAACACTGTAAGTCACTGAGCCAACCAGGGACAAGAAGTGTTGCATGGGCAAGAAGACAAAGACTATCCTACAAACACAACTAAGAAAGCAGTGATTCGTTCCTTCAAAGGAAAACGCTGCTCCTTTAATCCACACGGCACGTCCCAAGATTTAGAGAAGATGCGCAAAGAGGTATTAGGATCAAGTGGACGGGACAGACCAACTCTGAGGTGTGATGTCCACCAAAGCCACAGGAACCCATGCATGGTTTTGAGGCAGATTCCTTCTAACCATTGCTTATTAAACAAAGCTTCATTGTAGTCAAGACTTTGTAAAACTGCACTAATTGTAAAGTTTTTTTTGTTTCTTGTTGAAAAATTGCTGGAAGATGCTCAATACCACACAACATGGCCTGGTCAGCCTTTAAACCTATTAGAATAGGGAAACAGAACAAAAAAGTTACTTTAACTAATACAGTATTTTGGTTTCAAAAAACTCATACTGAGAGATACCTAACAAGAGTTTTTCTAGGCTGTGAATTGCTATGTATGTAAACCCCATCCTTCGGACAGGCTGGAACAGAGCTGAATTAACTTTGGCAACAGAACAGGCTGATGAACTGTAATTTACTGAAGAGTTAATACAACCTGTTCAGGACAACATTTGATTTTACAAGCCAGTGTTTATAAATTCTTCAGGAAACATCATCTCTGCTAACACAGAAACTTCTCTTTCTTGCCAAAAGGAACAGTAACATCTTACTATCCATGCCTCATTTAACCATATAGCCGTGTCAAACCTAACCAATAGTCATTCTTGTAGAATATATGCAAAGCTGATTCATTAACTGCAATTTTTAAACTCCAGTACGAACGGATTTTGCAAACTGATTTGGATTAACCAAGTCTGGCTGTGCTTCCATCTGGAAGTTATATTTTATAACGCTAGCCACATCTTGAAAAACAGATTCAGATGTTTGGAACAAATTCAGAACAGTTGTAAGAAATTCTAGGTACAAATGGAAAAAAAAATTAAGCTTTAATGTCTTTTTCCTCTCAGTTTTCTTTCAAGTAGGCATTTATAATCATGGTGTTTAGGGAGTTGAGGGGTAAGGAAAGAATCTGTGTTATTATCTATGACGTATTTACTCATGTGTAACGGCAGTTTGTTCTTTCTCATACTACTCTGTAGCATTTTAAGCCTATCCTGATAAAGGGACACGATGCTGAGTGGAAACAGTTAAACAAGGTTGAAGCATCTGGTCTACCCACAAAGATTTTCTGCTAGGAAAACCGTCTTTACATGAAACAGCAAAATGAATATAATCCTTACAGTGAAAATACATCAATACCCATGTAAAAATGCCTTTTTAACAGCATAGCTTCTAACCCATGGGTTGTGTCAGTATAAAACAGTGTCTGTAAGGGTTGTACAACATGTAACAATGCTAAGTACCTAACTTACTTCTTTATTTTGAGAAAAACATCATGAATGCTTTTTACTCTAAGCCTTCATTCTCTGGCTTTGGTGAAACCTACACTAGTGTTGAAGCAATTTCATTTCTTAATACACAAACCACACACGAGGACAGATGAGCATTAGAAAAGAAAGGTTTAGTTTTGAAATCTAATACATCCAGAAATTTTTATGCCTTGAAAAGAAAAATTATCCTTCTGCCTTTCCAGCTAGTTTAAAATACCTGTGAAGCCATATACAGGAAAGCCAAACAAGAGAAATGTGCCCAAGCTCCTCAAAAACATGATGTTGTAGATGGTAGAAGGCAAACGACAAAACAAGGTTTCCTCTCCCCCCATGCCACTTCGCACCGATGCTCTCGCGATCCCACAAACACACAGTTTTAATCTGATCAGGTATTGAAGTTTTCTGACTTACCCAGCCTTTTTCCCGGTCTTGGGTTTTGGCGTGGTATTTTTTGCTTTCTTTTCCTTTGGCTCTTTAGGGATCTTGGGGACTTTGGGGGTCTTGGGTTCCTTCTTTTCCTTGGGCTCTTTAGGATCCTTCGGTTCTTTTTTTGCCTTGGGCTTTTTCTTTTTCTTCTTCTCATCTTGGGAGCAATCCACTGAGTTTCTGCTGAGATTCTGGCTGTCAAGTCCCCCAGGAAAGTCTTCCTTACCAAAACCTTTACTGGGACCTTCTGCAGCAATGTGATTGTTTTTCTTTTTCTTTTTCTTTTGCTGTGGCTGCGGCTCAATTGACGGCAGATAATCATCGCTTTTCACTAGCTGGGTATTCGGTCCACTAACCTGAGTCATATCCGGCACTGGTTTCTCTAAAAAGGGTTCCGACGGAGAATGCTGAGAGAGACAAATAGAAATTAAATTGTAGTTTGCAACTTTGGTTTCTGAAACTTTGCTCTTTCGGAGCTAGAGGTTACAAAGGGAGAAAATACTAAGCATAGGATTAACCTAGTAGCATATCTGAAATACTGCGCAAGTAAACCAGTAAAAACCAAAGCTTTCTGCAGTTAAAACAGTAGCAGAATGACCAGAAATTCTTGATATAGCAAGGGTAAAATTATTCTAAAGCTTTTATATAAAGTGGAAGTATATAAAATATTTAGGTTCTTCAACATTTAGATGCAAAAGGAAAGCAACTGTTATTTCAGATATTTAAAAACAGTTGTTAGTAGAATGAATAACTTGCTACAAATGACTAAGTTACACTGGAATCTTGTCCCCTGGGGGAAAAAAATTGTTAAAAGTTTGTTTCTAGACACGCAAAAGGAAAATCAACTATATACACAGGCTGTATTTATATAAAATTAATCAGCACAATTAACACTGACTCAGCTGTGACAGCAGGTATTTTGATCAGCACATGAAGGATTAAGCCACTTTAAAATGTAATACACTGTTATGTTTTATGTCCAAGATCCACAGCTCCCTACTTGTCATTGCAACAGATTTGTTCCTCCTACAGATTGGACAGAGAACTACCTTAAGTGTTTGTGAACCTGCAAAAGCATCCTGTTTCAAAGTCTGTATCATGTATCAGGTTTACAACAGTAGAGGTACATGAAAACCTGTGTATAATTACACAAATGCCAAGCGCCTAGACTACTGGATCTATTTGTAAGTCTCTTCCTCTGAATGGTTCTGTTCTGCGGAAAGATCCATGAGTCTGCGATGGAAAAAAACATCTAAGCTCTACCATGACTTTGCAGCATATCAAAGCTCTAAGCTGCTTCCTGACTGCCTGCTCATGCTTATAAATGCAGGACGTCAGTGCTCTTCAAAAAGAAAAGTAATAACATGACACCGTACTGCTGCCTTTCTTGCAACTGCATATACGGTCATACCGTTTTCCCACCCTCTTTCTCTCTGTCTCACCCCCGTTTCTCTTCCCTAATAATTAGGTCAGCACAATTCTAAGTGGAAGAGTTCCCCAACAGCTGTGGTCACAAAGTCTAGGTATTTGAGATGTGAGATTCACTGAATTTGGGAGAAGAAATTTATAGCAAATCAGAGTTTTACTTCCAGGAATAGCAGTGTCTGTGTAACTGTCTGTAGTATTATTCGCGTTTCCTTTTCTCTGCTTTTTATTCAAACTGCTCTTACTTAGGAGTGGCTACTGTGCAAGTGAGTGGCTACAAACCCAGTCCCTGAGCATAAGAACTGATGGGCATACAGAGACATATACTTTAGCCACCTGGATCTAAAAAAACTATGCACTTAAGATCTGGGAAATAAAATTCTTAATATCACTACATGAGAAAGTGAATGCACTTTTATTTTTCCAAATATATTAATATAGCTTTCTGAATGTAAACAAACTGAATCAGTGCAGTCCTAACTATCTTCAGAATTTATTCACAGTAGCAAAAAAATGCTGTGCCCTGAATACACTCACATACTCAGAAGCTATCCAAGTAGCAGAAGGAGCAAGGCTGTCAAGATGTGGAGACAACTCTTTATTGCTATTTGGCAGGGGTGTGAATGGTACGAGCTAGGCATTACAGTTCTTTATGGAAGAGACTTCAGAACAAGAGGGAAGGCCTGAGAGTTGGACTTAAGATCTGGGTCTGCTTTGCTTAACTAAGGGTAACTTCTGCATGTTTCTGTCCCCCACCTGTTTATTAAGATACTTTTCAGTACAACAGGGTCTTAGCTGCAGTGGAAACTCAGCTGTAATGCAAATCTGATGCACCCATTGCATTAGCAGCCCATTAATCAGCCCCACCCCTCAAGGCAATCTCATGTTAGGCATCCTGAAGTATGAACCAACACCTGACAAAATCTGTGGTCACTTATATATCCTCATGCTGGGAAGTTCACAAAGATTGGGTATCTGTATAGAAGATGCTGATCCCAGGAAGTCAGTGGTGCCAATGAGTTCTGCAGTCCAATTGTACATTACATAAAATAGAGGTATTTTTAAAGCTTCTGATTGGTTTTGAATTTGGTTGACTGAATTGAACTTAATGTCTCCTCAGATGTGTCCAGTGACACAGAACAAAACTGTCTTCTCAGACATTATGTATTTGTGCTGTCTAACACCTGTTTTAGGTAGGAAAAGACAGGAATATTACACAGATCACCCATAAGTACACCTTATCCATACGTGTTCAGAGCAGCACTTTTAACCTGCATTTTCCCAATACAGTCAATATATTTCTGTTATCTGCCTTTTTATATCTCATGGACCCTACACTTTTCAGAGACCTTGAGTGCAAGTTGCATCAGTGTCTTCACTGAGCTGTCCACCACAACAGTCAGTCCTCTTTTTAAATACCGTTCACTTGCCGTGTCTAACATAAAAGAAATTTAAGGTTTTCTTACCATTATTTGTAAAATTTGTATCGAGCAAGTACCTTGTGATTTGCACTACAGTTATTTGCCATATTAAGAGAGACTTTTACAACTATCTATAAGCTTATGTATAAGGCACAACTTTCTAGAACAAATCAGAACTGGTAGTTTAATTTTTCTTCCTCCTAAGCAAGTGAAACAGCCAAGCCAGCAAATGAAAAACCACAAGAAATCCAGTAACGCCACATAAACTTAGTTCTATAAAACTTTCCAGGGTTGCACGTTCATCAGCGATACGACCCTCTCACTGAAATCAGTATGAAGTTTTGTACATATGAGTATTCCCATTACCTTTTAAATCTAGTTCAAAAAAATAATCCTTGTCTCCTTTCTAGAACTTGTGGGTTGGGGGTTTTATTTGTTTGTTTTAGGTCTCAACATCAACTTTCTACACAGTCATAAGCGAATGTGAACATAAGGCAGAGAGCTTTCCAGGTCTCCACAACAGCAATGTCAGCCCTTCACGATTTGACATTTGTAGCTTTAACTTAAGTTCTGGCCAGCAGATAAAGCACTGAGAATGGCAGCGATTGGAGCCACACTGCAGCACTCTAACTCATTCTGGAAGGTAGCATCCTATGAAAATTCAGATTCTTACTACCTCAAAAAGCTTATCCACAGGAGACATTCTCAGGCTCTAAAACAATTGAGACTATATGTTAGACTTAAATATTATGCATGAAACAAATACTAAAAAAACCCCCACACCTTACTGCCTTTTATTTACAGTGCCAAGTCACGTGCGTTACCAAGCATACAAATTGAAATACTATGTTTTTCTTTCATATCATTCACAATCTCCAAAACATTAAGCTACAAAAAGCCAACTCTGCCCTAATTAAGCTTTGGTTGTATTTCCTATTACTTGAAAATGCATAACTTTTGCCACATATCACTCCCTTTGCAGTTTGGCACATTTTGTAATTCACTTGAAAATCACTTATACATGATCTAAGTTGTAGCACTCTTTCAAAGAAATGGCTGTGATTGATTAACTTTATTTTCCTAGGAAGTCTGTGCCTACACTTTTGCAATATGCTAAAATGGTTTATCCCTAACAGACAACCCCACATTGCTCCCTAGTGTGAAGCCGTGTAGGAGCAGCACAAATCTAGTGAAGAGATCGGAAGCAGCTTGAAAGATGCATTTTCTTACCCCAAACCAGTTTTCTGCTCTTTCTTAAGAAGGGAGAAAAGGAAGAAGAATAGACTTTCACTAGGAACTACTAGTTTAAGCCAACCACAGGGAATTATTTCAAATAGTTCTAAGTTTTTAAATCTGCAAAGGATTAACTCTAGTTACAGGGTCACAATTTCTAATGAAAGAACCCTATTTCCCATTCGCAAAATTAGAAAAATGCGTAGATTACAAGTTTTTACTAAACGACTGAAAAAATTATCTGCATATTTCACAGAAATTGCTTCTCCTGCTGCTTTTAGTAATGACAAAGCCATAATTTATTAAGTTGGTACAGAATTTAATCTTCCACAGGAAAGACAGCGGTAAAGATTAAACACAAATAGGTATTAATCCTATTTGATATTGCAGCAGAACTATTTTTGGTATAATTTGAAATAAGGTGAAAAAGGTTCTCAAAAATATTGGTGTGTTTACTAGACCCACATCTCTTTAAATCTTTTAGAGAAAAGCTGTTTTTGTAAACATTTAACAAAGAACAGATGGCCTGTTTTAATCATGCGAAAAAACCTGGAGCTCACATTAATACTCCAACCACCGACTACTGGGGCCAGTCACCTCCCTAACCAGCAGCACGGCTCCGTCTTCAGCAATACCATTTAATTCTACAACAGACATTTTTTCATTGATTCCCACTGCTTGACAGTTAATCAATGCTATTAACATGCAATATCACAATGCAGGACACTCCTAAAGATCACAGCTTATTAGAACAAAACAGAGATTCTTCAGGAACTCTCAGGAGTTAAAATAATTTGCAGCTCAACAGGTTACCCAGGTTGGTAATATGCTCTTGCAACAATATCAGAGCAAATTATAAATGAAAACACTATTTGGGAAATTGGTTTTGGAATGCAAAAAATCTCATTTTTCTGGAATTCAAACTTATTTTTAAACTTCCAAACAGGTATCACCAAGAATTGAAAAAATTAAAAATGAAGCTGCCTGTGTTTCGTAGCTGCTGACACGTTCAGAGCTAAGCTCATTCTCTGCAGCCCAGAGCACAGGTAGGTGTCTCCACCTGTCCCAAACCAGGCCTGTTACGTAAAGCAGCAAGATGGACGGGATGCAGGATTAATCCAGTGAGGGTTAGCGGCAGGGAGGGAGGTTAAGGAGGAGAATCCTTCTGTTGCTTGAAGGAGGACTGAGCCACAATCAACTGTGCTTAAGCACTGAAAGGATCTGAGTGTTGCTTCCCTAGCAGAGCAGCAACTTGAGCCAATACTGAGCTTTAAGAAGTAGGAAGCAAGATGAGCAAAGTATGTGCCATGACTCAGCTAACTCCATGA